TGTAATATTTTATATCATTTGCAAAGCAACTTATTAACTGAAGTGGATTACAATATTCCAAAGTGCAAGCAGGATTTAAAAAGCAGCAATAGTGATGCAGAAGCTACTTTTGCTATGCACAATACACAAGCCTTTTTTTTTTTTACTTTGAACCTCTCTAATTCTATTCATGCTTCATCTTTGCATCAGGCAAAGAAGGAGAATTGAGATCTGATTCACACACTGTTCTAAATCCATGTTTTGGTTAGTTGATTAGTTTGTGGCTTAGTAATATAAATTCAGCCTCTGCACTTTTCAAATCCCTGGTTAAGGTGAAGCATTGAGCATATCTTAAGTGTTTGTGTTTCTAATTGAATGGTTCACAGACTGCTAAGAATCCTTATAAAGCAGAACATTATACAGGTTCCTGTATATCTTACTAATATTGATAGAGAAAAATCTTTAGTGGCCTCCTTATGACACTTTTCAGGCCTCCTGTTTTATGTCTGCATAGAACTTAAAAAGCATCTCATAGTCTTCAGGCCTCTAACCTTTTCAAACTAAAATCTCAGCTGGAGAACTTTCAGTGTTCTGAACTTACAATGTTCTGAATTCCCCATTTTTTTCTCTCTTTGTTATAAATATTTGGCTAGCCTCATAGCAGTGCTTTGATAATGGGGAGAAAAAGGAGTGAGTTGATCTGTTCCTTACATGGCTTCTAGGTTGCCAAGAAGAAAAGATCAGAAATGTATGGTACATATAGATGTCCCAAGGACCCTGTCAGAACTCTTTTCTTCCTTTTCCCCATTGCTGCTTCTGAAATTATGTTTTCCAGTTTTTCAAGGAGGTTGGTCAGCAATCTTTCCAGTCAATTAAACATGAATTGTTGAGTACATGGTTTGGGTGGCAAGAAAATTACCACTAATTAGTTTTTGTTAGGATATGTAGCTAAAGCTGTACCAGAGCAGCAAACAGGATCAAATGTATGGATCTCAGTTAATTAGCGTGAAGTTCATAGTCTGTAGGAAATTAACTTGATACATGTAAAATAGCTGATTAGCTTTTTAATAGCTGAATTTGTTCCTCTCTAAATGATACTTGTTTCAAGAAGCTGCTTTTTTTGACAGGTAATGATAGAAAATTTAGATTGGACTAGAAATAAGCTTATTTCAATGTTTGATAGATTTTGAGATAGGTGATTCCATATTTCAGTTACACTTTTACTCCACTTATTTTATTACCTTGTTTCAGCTGATAATATTGAACAGAATACTTTAACTTCATTCCACAGCAGAAATATAAAAGGTTAATCCTACCAGATGCTGTTCTGTATTGTACTGCAAATGTTGACACCTTGCTGAGTGCAGCTGGCTGGGAATATCTTTGTTACTTTGTTTTTCACTTAAAATAATCCTTGGGGGATTATGTGAGTAGCTGACATTTTGATAGCCTCTTCTGTGACATTATAATTACACAAGAAATCTCTTTATATAGAACTTAAGTGATCTATGAATTATTTTACTCAGCTAAACAGTGCTGAAAATTGTAGATGCTCATTGAAGGTCCCTTTGTATATAATATTTATCCTGCATTACATTTATTGGACTGTTTCTGTCAAGTCAAACTACTAGCACAAAAAAATACTTTGCATTTGGAATACTTTATATATATTTTTTAAAAAAAATCTGCTTTAAACAAGACTTTTTAAAGTTGCCAACTTATTATTTTAAAGTAGTGAATACAGAGCAACAATTTCTTTTAAAGTAGAGTTAGGTAAATGAGAGTATAGTTAGGTATAATCCATATGTTTGACAGGATTCAGTGATAATTCCAGCTAAGTAACACGGCAGTTCATCTTCAAAAGAATCAATTTTCACAAAATGTACATATGATGTTTGAATATGAATAAAGTAAAGAACGAAATAATAGTAGCAGGCCCTATCTTTGATTTTCACATATTTAATCACATATTGGGTTATGTACAAGAATGGATGCTTTGATTTTTGTAACATTCATAGCTCTGTAGCATTTTATTGTGCTACCAGAATTCCTGATCTATACAAAATGCAATGGTCTTCCTGATAACTCCAATATTATACAGTACAAGGCACAATATTTGTGTGTTCTTGTCCTGTTTCTTTTCTTGCTGCAAAAAGGTGTTTTTTTAATCTTCAGAAACCCAGCAAGTGTAATCACTGGTTGGTTTCAGCTACAGTACAAACACTCCATGACATTCCCTGCCCAATGAAATAATGGAATGTAGTAGTATGACTGCAGGAATAGCAGTGAAAATATTGGTGCACCAATATTAATTTAACAAATCTTATGTTGCGGTAAAAGACCTTTGGAAAGACGATGTGTATAGAGACTGTTCATGCATAATACTGAATGCATATAATAAATTAGGATAGTCCATGCTATTAAGAGGCCTCTTCTCACTATTGTTTCAATTATACTGTTGCATTCTGTATAGGGCGCTATGAGGAGAATTCTGATAATACATCTATTAGGGTCAGACTAGCAGTAGACCATCATGCTAATTATATACTAGCATGGACAGACTATTTGTTAACAATCAAATACAGGATGAGAAGTTCAAATTTCTTCTGCCTGCCGTTTTATTCCCGAAATACTTCAATTACATGTTGGTTAAGATGGAAAGAAATTTCCATTGAAATCTGCACATAATGTACACATGGAGGTTATTTGGAGAATGCAATGAATAAGTTAATTCTCTTAGAAAAGGAGAATTAAACTACACCATTCTACATACAGCAATACTGAATTGGAGTTCTTCCTTGAAAGTAGAGTTTATCTTCTATTATCTTACTAGGGAGAGAAGAAATGAAAAATTAAAGTTGCTATAAAGTGAGCAGCCATGGTTGGAACTACTGTTATCTAAGGTGCTCAGGGACTTTATTCTTTTCCCTTTGTATGTATGTATGTATGTATGTATGTATGTATTTATTTATTTATTTATTTATTTATTTATTTTTCTTTATTAAACTTTCTGAGTGACTGATTTTGGGGTTATTTATCTGTATCTGCTACCAAGGAAAGGGTTAAGAAGTATGTGTAGTGCTATATGTTTTCAAGGTTAATTGAAAACGTTGCAGAGAAGAGGAAAGATTAAGACTGCAATTTTAATAGTTCTTTGTGTACTTTCACTACACTACTTCTATGTTTGAATTATTTAGCACTGTTGAGTGACTGATTTTCTGTAGTTAACTAGAAATGAAATTAAAATAATTTCAAGGCAATATTTAACACAGCACTATATTATCCAGTAAAGTTATGATCTGTGATTAACTTACCTGTGTGTTTACTTACGTGTAAGCCATATTCATTTGTCAAATGGTTTTTAGTGGCCTGATATGGCTGTAGTTATGCTGGCATGAGTCAGCAAATGGAGAGAGTAAAGGAGAGATGAAGTTCAGTTCTAGCCTTGAAGGGCAGCTGTGCTGTCACAATGGCTGATGAGCTGACTTGGCTGCTAGCTACGGCTGTTCTGTGAAGAGGTAGACAGCATTCCCATTGGTACAGCTTTATATATAGGTGTTGAGGACTAGAGCCCTAGGTTGGGGGGGGCACCCACCTCCTCAGTTGTTGGAGAGCATGCTGCTGGTCTGACTCAAATTTGGAAAGAGAGAGAAGGAGAAGAGAGAATACAAGGATAGAAAAAGACTATGTAAGACAGAGTGGCTGGAAAGAAAACTTGGAGAGTACAGTTACTGGAGTGTGAGGAGAAGTTGTCGGTTCCCAATCGGAGAGGAGAAGAAAACTCCACAGGGGGGCTTCCCTGCAGAAAGAGAAGTAAAGTCCCAGAGAGATGACATCTTCACCCAAGGCCCAAGATGGGAAGGAGGGAGATGGCTGTCTTTACTAAAGCTCTCATCTCTGGGGAAGGACTGGGCAGAAGACCCCAAGGGAAGTTCTCCCCCCAATGGGGGAAATGTAGATGGTGATTGGCTGAGCGGATCCAAGAAAAAGAGACAAGCCATGCTGAGCACACTCAGTCATACTGTATATCCATCACATTCCTTTCTTTTTACTGTCTCTTGATAAACCCAGAAATAGGGGGGAAGTGAAGCAGTTAGTTGGAGAGATAGAGGGGAATAGTCTCTGGGAGAGACTTAGGAAGAAACCCAACACTGGGTAAAAGCTGGGATCTTGATGTAAACATCTATTGTAAATACTTTTGTAAATAGTTTCACTGCATATACCGTGTATATACTCACAGATAAGCTAAGAATTTTAGTGCCAAAATACACCCCAAAAGTTGGGTTTGACTTATTTGCTGATGGGCTTATCCATGAATACATACACCAATACTTTTTGAAAGTACCCATGTCTATTTGTGGATATATCTATCCACAGATAAGCCAACCCTCACATTTTTAACCAAAATAAAATGAAAAGTGTATCACCCATGGATAAGCCAATTGTGAAAATTAAAATATACAAACCATACAGAGTTGGGCTTATCCGTGACAATATACAGTAGTTAAAAGAAAAAAGCATTAAAACCTCCACTGTCTTGATTTTTCTGTGTCAACTGCCATCCAAAATACACCTCCAGTTCTAAAAGAACCCAGTTACACTGTGACAATTCAGCAGAGTCCTTTTCACAAATTAATGAAGTTCTCTGTACCTAAATACTTTCCAAAGAGCCAGTTTGGTGTAGTGGCTAAGGCATCAGGCTAGAAACCTAGGGAACCATGAGTTCCAGTCCCACCTTAGGCATGAGTAGGTAACCTTGGGCCAGTCACTCTCTCAGTCCTAGGAAGAAGGCAATGGCAAACCACTTGTGAAATCTTGTCAAGAAAACTGCAGGGACTAGTCCAGGCAGTTGCCAGGGGTCAACACTGACTCAAAGGCACACACACACACACAATACATCCAATTGTATTGGTTGTATTACTTTCTTCCTTGGGGCTGAAGAATCAGGCAAAAATTGCTTATTAATTCCCTCTGAATAATCAGATTTTATTTCACAGAGTATAGGAATGTTTGATTTCATGATTCTTTTTTTTTCTCTTTTATTTTTTAAATTTTCACAAGATATATCACTAAATCAGCAGAAATTGTAAACAGAAAGGGTAGAATTCCATGTTGGATAAATGAGTCCTTTCATTTAATGGATGTTCCTTCTCTGCTTTTCCTTTCCCCCAACAAAATAAACTCAGGAGGCTGGGAGAATCCTTCAGAGTAGATCTTGAAGTTCTGTGAGAAGTTGCAGGACAGAAATCCTCCTTCTTTTGACTTCTTCTTTATTATTATTGATTAGCCATTAGGCCATATCAGAATATAGAATATAAAACACAGAACATTAATGAGACCATATGTTAAAAATAGAATAAAAGAAACAAGTTAAATACAAATCATATTTCTGTATCACCCCTACCGTTTGCCCTGATCAGATCCACATATGCAGATCTCAGCTGTACTGTTTTGTTCAACTAAAGGGCCATATTATATGTGCTTTTTGAATTCCGACCACACATGAAACATGTTGGTTTAACATGAGAGTCCCAATAGGTTGCTTGTCTAATGTGCAGTCCAAGATACTGATTTATGTCTTATACATTTGACATTCAAATAATATATGTATTATGTTTTCTATCTCTGGAGCTCTGCAAATAAAAATACACTCATTATAAGGGACTTGGTTAAATCTTCCATATCTAACCATTGTGTCCAACTGCTCAAATCTTGCTTGAGTAAATACCGCTCAAAGATGTTTAGCATTTCTATGTTTAAATACTTGGCAATTTGGAAGATACATTTGTAACAGCTTATCCATTTCAATGTACCAACCTTACTAATGGTGACTATGTCTCTCTGTGCTTCAATATCTGAGATTCTTTGTGCAGCAATCTCTTTAGCTTGTTTTCCAAAAGCAGTTGGACAAGAGACAGGGAGACCACAACTTCTGATATAATTTGTCAATTGTACAATTCAAGAAGTCTGTAATTGAGATTTTGTCTGTTCTATCAGACACAATTTTGGAAGTCTGCCAGTTTCCATGGCATTAATTTTGCACCAATAATTGTATGCCCTGATTTTAGACAAAGAACAAATTGTATATATTCCAATATGGCTTTAACTGCAGCAGCTGAAGTTTGTTTGTTTTTTTCCCCTCCATGCCCAAATACTTCTCAGATGGTCTGATTGTGTTTGTTCTAATAGAAGTACATGTTTTAAGCCCCAAACTTCAGCTCCATATAATAGCCCAGGAGTAATCTTAGCCTTGTATACTTTCATAATTGGGGCTAAGGAGCCCCAGTTGGGATAGCTGGATAGCTGTGATTTATTAATTTGAGCAGTAAATTCACGTGCCTTTGTTCTAAATGAGCTCCTTTGAGGATGAGGAAGCCAAGAACCAGTCTCAGAGAAGGCTGCCCCTAGATAAGGAAAGGTGTTAACTTGCTCTATCAGCTCACCATCTAATAGCCATCTATGGCTATGATGCTGTTTTCCAAAGACCATAATTTTTGACTTTGATTTATTAATAATCAGAGAAATATTATGAGAGTAGGAGCCGAGTCTTCTTAACAATCTACTCAACCCAACTTGCGAGTATGATAGTAAAATCATATCATAAGCGTATAGCAGAGTATTATAATGTGTGTTTAGCACCTTAGGCGTATGTACTTCAGGATCCTTCATCAATCCCGGTAAGTTGTTAATTTATAGACTAACTAAAGAGGCGCATTCTACTGGCAAAATCAGCTTCTTCTAACAGAAAAAGCAACAAGATGTTGTCTTAAACTTTATATTAGTAATAAATATTTTCATTAAAAATGAGACCTCTGAAGAGAAGTATAAAGAGTCTCACTATCACTTTGCCTGTCCCCACTAGAAAAGTTATTGCTGCAATTGCATTTATTGTCCCAACACAACCCCCCTGCCCTGCACCATAACGCCCCAAAAGCTTCAGGACAAATTAAGCCTGAGAGAAAAAATATACAAGAGACCCCTGCAATAATTCTGGACCACTTCTTTCAGACAGCTATTCATATTATCTATAAATAAAATAAATGAACACAGGACAGTATTTGTAGAGAAAGGAAATAGAAAAATATAGCTCCTTCCTGAGGCATATCTGAAGGGAAGTTTCTGCCAAAATATTTTTCAGTTTTCACAGTCATAAAGAAAAGGTTAAAAAACCCAGTTTTGTTCCTGAAATTTTCCCACTCACATAGAAATTAAGGAATATTTTTGTTTTTGTACAGTCGTTTCTCTCCTTTTGCTAATGCTTATGGAAATGTGACTTGAAAAGCAGCATGCTGAATAACAACAATAAGGCAGTATTTGCCAAATTTTCAGATCTTATTTAAAGTAGGTGGCAGTAGTAACAGAAAAGTTATCAGCCCTATTGAAGAATGGAAGAGCTCGATATTCTTATGGAAAGATGTTCTAGAAAGGCCTTTCCATTTTAGACTAGGAAAATGCTTTATTGTAAACTGATTAATTTATCTTTCATACTGCAAAACATTGCCTGGTTTGGCAGAGGTGACTCATGCAGAAGGAAACTGAAATAGTTTTTGACATGCATCTTTAAGAGCCTGGAATCAATTTATTCCACAGATTTTCAGTAATGGTATTGAAAAACAACAACAACATGATCTGAAATTAGTTGTTGTTCAGTGAAGAATTATGAATGATGTAAGAAAAAACTTGACTTTTTTCCTTTGCTTTCATCCATATACTCTTAACTGCTACAAATAAATCTATTACGTGCAACTGAGTATTTTCCAAGCATACAGATAGATGATCAGCCTTATATAAAGAATATATTGAGTGTGCAGGTTTAGAATTAGAAGAATCAGATATACAAAAGAATCTCAGCTATTTAGGCAAAATCAAATGCCAATGACTGTCAAAACTTATTAGTAATATAGTTTGAATTTCAGTTATCAGAAAAATAAAATGATGTCAGTGACCATTAGAATAGTAGCTTTTGTGAATTTATTTAAACTCAGGTTTGGGGACCATATGCAGTGAATTTGAGGAGTTCTGAATTCCAGCGTGTATTACAAAGCCATTTTTTTGTGTGTGTGTCTTTTGTTATTTTGCCATCTTCATAAATAAAGAGAGCTCTGATTCTTTCTTTAATTAATTGTAGCTAATCACCTGTTAGTTACAGAAGAAAGATTTTAATATTGTCATGGATCATAAGCTTGCTCTTTCTGCAATATATGTGGCTCACATGTTTCTCCTAAATTATTTGCATTCCATGACTGTTCAATGACTTGTGTCTTTACTAATTGGTTCTAAAACTGATACACTGAATTTTAAAAATACATTTTAAAACTCCTCTAAAACTTTTTTTAAAAACTCCTCTAACTCTGTATCAGATTTATTTAAAAGTTTTCATTGTGGAATTGTATCCTATTCTCTTTTTTCAATGCCTTCTATTTTCTCTTTGCTTTTACCTATTTGTGTGTCAATATTGTAATATAATATAATGGTCAGAAGTGTTTCAAAGCATACTTATACACTGAATTGAGTTCGATATACTCCTTAGTATGCCTGTACTATAAATGTGATCTATAAAGAATGGATTGGATGCATATTAAATCATGAGTAGAATAGCCATGATTTACATGGAATTAAGGTATTGTGCCCTTTACCCTTTGAACAAATATACTTTATGAATGCAAAAGTTTCTTTTCCAGGTTCCAATAATGATTTGATTTGAAGTAAAGAAACTATAGCATCACTAGTAACTCCAAATCAGGCATTGCATGAATGAAATCACAAGGTGAAGATATTAAAATTCTAACAATCTATCATTTAAAAGCTGGAAAAAATAAAATGTGAAATTAATCACTATTAATATATTAACAGTTCTATTTGAGATTTAGTGGAGCTCAGCAAACACATTTGCATCCAAAATAGCCCAGATGAAGCTGTTACATTTATGTTAATTTTACATAATTTGAGTAATGATGCCATGATTCAAATGACACAGATAACATAAAACTTGTTATATGATGTAAATTGCTGTGAATTATGTAATTTGTAATTTGATATATGCTTGGAAGTAACATCTGAGTGAACCAAACTGGGATACATAACTGAAACCTCATTGGGCTCAGAGGGGGGTGTTCTCCTCTTAGAATTGTGCCCACTTAGCATCAGCCAAAACCCCAGGAGAGGGAGTGATGGCTGTTCTTATCTGCAAATCATAGAAGCATCTCAGAATTGCTGCTCCACAGATGACTGAATATGAGACACCCTGGTTGATGAGGGACTTTAGGGAACAGTTGGGATTACTGCTGTTTTGCCACCACACTCTGACAACAGCACCATCCCTGCCTAAATTACTGACTTCCATTGCTGGGCTGGCTTTAGAGGCTCTGAGGCTGTTAACCTTTGGAGACTTTAATTGGCTGCCAAATGACATTGAATCTGGAGCAGCTCAGGAATTTGCATCCTCCATGGCAATCATAGACTTGCTCTAAGTCATTGAAGGCCCAATGCATGCTAGTGGTTGCATGCTAGATCTGATTTTTGTTTTAGGGCAGTTGCAATGTGGTCTGATATTGCGGGGGGGGGGGCATTGCTATCAGTCAAATGCCATGGACAGATCACTTTCTGATTATTTTTCAGCTTGCTAGTGTCACCCACCTCATGGAGAGATTGGGTTTATTGGATGAGCCTACCCCAGGCAACTTATGGACCCTACTGGGTTCCAGAGGGAGCTTTTGGTTTTCCTGAGCATCTGGTGGGAAGTTCAGCTGAGGCCTTGGTTGTAATCTGGAACAGATGTGTGGTGGAGGCCTTGGACCACAGACAAAATGGAATATTACTTGCATTGACTATTAGAAGAGTTGCATTGATTTAAGCATCCACTCAAAATAAAAATTCATCCTTAACATTATTTGACTTTACCTTTCCTTTTAAAAAAATTAATAGCTTGTTTTTGTTTCTACTTTGTGATTAACATAAAATGGGACAATTAGCCAAGCACTATAAAAAAGAAACAAATGCTTAAAATTATGAAATTATTATTAGCTTTACAGAGTTGATATATGTGAAGGACTTCAAACATTTAAAAATATCTTTTACAGGAATAATAATTAGCCTGCTACCTAGTTGTCATTCCATACACAGTGAGTCAGTGCTCAGAATGGGTTATAAAATGTGTCCAAGCAGTTTAAAATAATGTCAAGAGAATTAAAAATCTAACTGCTACCATTTACCAATACTTTCTCAGTGCTGATATTTTCATTTTGTGTATTATGAAGGATGAATAC